GAAATTTTTAACTGTTTTTCAATGTTTGAACTATTTTGCATAGACTAAAATACAAGAAAGTGAAAACAGGCAATCGTTCGATGGGCTGAATTGCACAAAACGCATGATCACACCGGCTAGTCTGGTGCGCGTTAGCAATCGTTCGATGGGCTGAATTGCACAAAACGCATGATCGCACCGGCTAGTCTGGTGTGCGTTGCTATTTATTATGTCGATGGGCTGAATTGCACAAAACGCATGATCGCACCGGCTAGTCTGGTGCGCGTTGCCATTTATTACTGATATTGTCACAGTATTGTGCTAACAGGAACCTCGTAGCAATCGATGCTCGCAAATCGCGGCATAGTAATAAGGAAGGGGCTTAACATGAGATGGCCAGATCGATTGCGCGAGCGCCCCGTGCTATACTGATAAATGAGAGCAAAACGAAACGGGCATAATGCTCGCTCGCGTGCACTGCAAAAGCTGGTATGTGCATATCTGTTATTGGCGTTGTTATATTCAGAAGCGATCAAATCTTCTCAAGGGAAACGAAGTGCCAGGAGCAGTACTGCCAAGCGATAGCATCGATGAGCAGCCACAGGTAAACCGAATTATTATTTTTACAATAGTTGCAAAAAAGTTCAGCAAACATTCATTTGATTCTCTCTTTAAAAATGTGCATGAAATTTCAGCTGCGGGCAGTTTTCTCAAAAATCGCTAGTTGCACAAAATCCACATTGTCACGCTTCTCTATTTGTAGATGTGTACCTGTGCGTGTGTATGTGTTTGTTGGTGTGTGTGTGTGTGTGCGTGTGTGTGCGTGCGTGTGTTCCAAGTGCGTTTTATCCACGGTTTTCAATTGGGGAATCAGAAAGCTAGGAAGTTGAAATTACGGGAGCCTGTTGCCTATTCATGTGTAACCGGCAGACTTAAATTCAGCTCTGTACACTTGGTGCAACCCATGTGAAAATTCTGCCCTCAAAATCGCAAAATTAGGAAAAGGAAGCTGAAATTTTAGAACGGTGCTTTTCACTCATGCGTGAATTACCTAAGCCTGGATATCGTACACGGATACATGGAAATTTTAGCAAAAAAATCCCTAATTCATAAGCCAGAAAAGCCACGGGGATGAAATTTTAAAAGGACTGAACATTTAAATCTTTTAGAAATTTCAGGATGTTAAGGAAGACGAAACAGTTGAAAGGAAACGTATGGCTCAAAACGAACCGATTTCCGCCATCAGCTCATCTGTTTCCGTATCATCACAGTCATCTGAAAAGGAGCAGATCGTGGGACTAAAGGATTATGGGCTGTCCGCCTTCCAAAAAATCCACCAAAGTATTGCTGAAAATTAAACGTTAACTTCATTTTAATTGTCATTTCCAATGAATTTCGCTTAAAATCATAAAGGACTTAAAATGGAGTCCTCGAGTTTTCTGCTGCTTCCTGACCTATGGCTTCGACTCATATCCATCCTCTTTTGCAACCACTTTTTCTTGCTTTGGTGATTTTTCCAGTTCTCCTTTTATCGTAGATTGAATTCCTCGTTCTAATTTGGCTATCTTTATGTACTGGGAATCCACAAGTTCCGGTAGAAAACTAATGACACCTTGCTTGAGTGGGAGTGAGGCTGTGTTTTCACCGCCAGTAAAATAATCGGTATTAAGATTAACAAGGTTTTTAGATTCTGAGGATAATACGAAGGAGCTTAAAATTGTAGCCGATGAAGCTGAAATTACAATGCAAGAAGCTGAATCATCAACAAGCGGGTTACTTTACATAACTTTTTAATTATTTTTGGTTTTTTAACTGAAGATTTTCTGGTCATTAAGAGCGGTAACGTTCGAGACAAAGCACATCAGAATGGCTAAGCCTTGGAATGGGAGGGTCGCTGAGTTAGATTCTTTCTAGGCGGCGAAACGAATGTCTGGATCGCCAGTCGGCTGAACACCAGG